TACCCGCTGTGCTGGGGAAATGGAGTAGTTTCTTGGTGACTCCAGATAGCTGTCAGAATTAATCTATAGGAAAAAAAAAAAAAAGCTTCCTTGAAGGAAAAAAAAAAAAAAAAGCTTCCTTGAAGGGAAGCTAGAGGCAGAGCAATGCCTGTGTATGTCATTTTAAGGGGACACTTAGGCTATGATGGAAGCAAGGAAGGGGGTACATAATTTGCAAATTAAAATTGTGACCCCCTTATCTAAACAAGTGAAAATCAGATTCAATGGATTTTTAAAAACGAACTTCTAAGTTCTTTACATTTTGATAAATCAAACCTATATATTTATGAAGCAGGTCATACTCTTCTTTTAATTCTGAGTTCATAAAGCTGGTGTTTCTCACCCTGAAGCACTGGAGAACTCGATACCTTTAGGAAGCAAAGACGAGAGCCAGAGTTTAACATTTTCATCCTTTTGAGTGAGAATTATCCAGTTAACATGGAAATGAAAATCTCTGTTTTCTGTTGTTTCTTCTGAACCTCGTTTTTGGAAAAACAGCAGTTGTCTACTTTGTGAGCAGTCTTTCCTTCCAGTTTTTAAATGCAGAAATTATTTTTCCATAATTTATCTTCAAATTATTTATTGTGGGCCATGCAGAAATTGAGAGATTGTACCATCCGTATCTTTTTTTTTTTTTTTTTTTTGAGTCAGGATCATGCTCTGTTGCCCAGGCTGAAGTACAGCAGCATGAGCTTGGTTCACTGCAACCTCAACCTCCTGGACTCAAACAGTCCTCCCACCTCAGTCTCCTGAGTAGCTGAGACTACCGGCATGTACCACCATGCCCTGCAAATTTTCTTATTTTTAAAATTTTTGGTAGAGACAAAAATTTTGTCTTCCTATGTTGCCCAATTTGGTCCCTGAACTCCTAGGCTCAAGCAATCCTCCCTTCTTGGCCTCCCAAAGTGCTGGGATTACAGGTGTAAGTCACCACACCCAGCCTTCAGTATCTTGATTAACCTGTTACTCTTGCTGGTATGGATGGTTCCAGCCAGGTCACGTTTTTTCTCTGGTTATTTTTACTTCATTTATAATGTTCTGAAATACAACCTTACTGTTCAGCCAGGTCCAAACCATACATCGCTCATCACTTCCAAGCTTGTGAGCTTGAATGAGTTAGTTAAACACTCTGATTATGCCTTACTTTACCCATCTATAGAATGTGGATAGTAATAATGCCTACTTCATAAGTTAAGATAATTTAATGAGTAAAAACAGGTAAGGTACTTAGCAGATAGACTAAGTATTTAATACATATTAATTACTTTTTAAAAACTTGTAAATATTAGCCGGGTGCAGTGGCTCACACCTGTAATCTCAGCACTTTTGGAAGGCTGAGACAGGTGGATCATGAGGTCAAGAGATCGAGACTATGCTGGCCAACATGGTGAAACATCGTCTCTACTAAAAATACAAAAATTAGCTAGGCATGGTGGCACGCGCCTGTAGTCCCAGCTACTCAGGAGGCTGAGGCAGGAGAATCGCTTGAACCCGAGAGGCAGAGGTTGCAGCGAGTCAAGATCGCACCACTGCACTCCAGCCTGGCAACAGAAACGAGACTCTATCTCAAAAAAAAAAATAAAACACTTGTCATAAATATTTTATTATTACAAACCATTCAACATTGCCTTGATGTTAAAACTGTTACCATTTAGCCTAGTCCTAAAAAACACGTTTGGAAACTAGAATATTCACAGTCTCCCCCAAGCACTTTGGAACATCTGCTGTCACAGGATTCCAGTGTCCTAGGATGTGATTCGTTTACACAAATCTAGTACCGTGCTGGATGATATTGAAAATCTCCAGAAGTCTCAGAACAGAGAACATCTCTCTTCTCAAGATCTACAGGGCCTTGTCTTATTCATCAAACTAGTTGGTTTAGTTTTTCTCCAGGGTATGATATGTTAGTACTTTCCATTTTATCCTGTTAGACACACTAAAAAGAGAGTAAGGTTGAAGGATTTGCTCTAGGTTACCTGGGTTTGGTAGCAGAACTAGACACAAAACCATTTTGACTACTGTTTATAGACGTGATTTATTGTATAAAGTTCCTCCACAGCTAAGGTAACATGTGCTATATCACATTAGCTGCCAAGGTCAGGCAAGGAATATTGCAGTTTTTTTAATCTCCTGAATTGAATTGCTTAAGTGTTAATTCTAAATACTTTATCATAAATATTTAAAGCAAATAACCAATTTCCACTTAATCATAAAAAACAACTCTTGTTAGTCTGAAAACATTTGCATAGAAAATTACATATCACTTTAATGTATTTTCTGTCTGTTTTTGTGTTCATATAAAAATAACAAACTGCAGATGCATGATGACATCATCATCACTGAACCAAAGAAGAGAGCGATGGAAATTATTTTGTGAGCTAGGGATTTAAACTGTTCCCTCTCAGCTTGGCAGTGCTTTTCTTAATATTTTTATGAGGGAGTTCCTGTGTGTAGAGTCATCTGCAAGATCAAGGACAGTTGACACTCATTCCTGCAGAATGAGCCCCAAATTTAAACACAGTGTCCTCCAAATGTCCCTTGGCACTGATGAATGTGATTTTTTTTTTAATGCTACATTGGGTTCTCTAGTTCATCCCACTCAGCTCCATTGCATTTTCTCTAATGTTGTGTCCAATTTTAAATAACTTGAATGATGGGCCTTCCATCTTTTACCTGACTAATGTAACCCCCAAGTGCCCAGGATTCTCCAGGCCTCATTCCCTGTGATAGCCATACTGCCGCAGAACTCAGAGAGGAGAAGCAGAGCCCACAGGATTTGAATTGCTGTCTAATAGGCCATAGCAACCTGAACATTTTATTAAGAGGGCATTTACAATTAGCATTATTATTCCAGAAGATGCTTTCATACAGTAAAAATCATGTGGAGAGAATTCTGATATGTAACCTAATTTTGCCATTTTCTTAATTTCTTCCCATTACTCCTAGTAATATACCACTCAAGCCATTTTATATTCTTCTCTTTGTTCTTCTCTGATTACATAAATAATTTTATCTCTTCCCTTTCTATTTTTCTCGAAGTAGTTATGATAAGTATAATCCTGCCAATAGAATTAGAGTGTATTACACGCAGGTTCTCCAGAGTTAGAGTAACTTTTTCTTGAGACAGGGTCTCTGTCACCTAAGCTATAGTGCAGTGGTGCAATCATAGCTCACTGCAGCCTCCAGCTCCTAGGCTCGAGCCATCCTTCCTCCCTAGCCTCTGGAGTATCTGGAGCTACGGGTGTGCACCACGATGCCCAACTAGTATTTTAGGGTTTTGTTTGTTTGTTTTTGTAGAGACAGGGGTCTCAATATGTTGCCAGGGCTGTTCTTGAACTCCTGGCCTCAAGCATTCCTCCTGCCTTGGCCTCCCCAACGTACTGGGATACTAAAAAAGTTTACTCTCAGCCTACAGAAACTTTTTAAAAAGTTGATCGGCTGGGTGTGGTGGCTCATGCCTGTAATCCCAACACTTTGGGTGGATCTCCTGAGGTCAGAGGTTTGAGACCAGCCTGGCTAGTGAAACCCTTTTCTCTACTGCAAAAACAAAAATTAGCCAGGTGTGATGGTGTGCACCTGTAGTCCCAGCTACTGTAGAAGCTGAGGCAGGAGAATCACTTGAACTCACGGGGCAGAGGTTGCAGTGACCCGAGATTGCACCAATTGTACTCCAGCCTGGGCAACAAGAGTGAAACACCATCTCAGAAAAAAAAAAAAAAAAAAGTTGATGCTGTCCAGGCAGAGGTGCACACCTGTAATTCCAGCTACTCTGGAGGCTGAAACAGGTGGAATCCTTGAGCCCAGGAGTTGGAGGTGGCAGTAAGCTTCGATCACACTACTGTACTCCAGCCTGGGCAAAAGAGCAAGACCTGTCTCTAAAAATAAAGTAAAATAAAATAAAAGTTGATGCTGATTAATTACATGAAAACAGGCAATTTACAGCTTCTCATAGCAATAATTGGGATATTTTTGATTTGCTGCCTCTTTTTTTCCCATTTTCTTCTATCATGTGGTTCTTTCATTTCTCCTATTACTGAGATTTCCATAAGTAAAAACTAGATTTCAATAATATTATCCTTCTAGAGAGGAATTTTTATTTCTTCAGTGATTATATTTGAGCAACTCTGCCATCATACCATGGTTATTTAATTCTGTTGTATTTATAAGCAGTTCTGCAGCCTGCTGACAGTTGTCACTTAGAAACCTTACAGCTGGTTTTCCTTTCTTCTGCTATACTCATCAAATTCTGCTGCCACTGTACATTGTAATGTTATTCTACCAATATATGGGTACCTTATAAAAAGGATTTTGGAAGTAAAAGACACTGTCTAATTAAGATTTATATGTGCCAAGCCTTAAGCATCAAGTTTCATACTCTATACCACTGGGAAAATTATTTGTTCTGTGGGAATAATTTATAGTCTTCTAAGAAATAATTTCACATAAATATTATTTGCTGTGATGAATCTTAGCAATCTTTTAAAATTATTGTATTCTTCAGTGCACTTCTTACAGTGATTACCATTTGTTTACCCACATTGATTCATTCATTTAGTAAACATTTGAGTGCATTCCATGTGTGTACTGGATACTGTATGGGTACTTTGAAAAGGAAAATGAACAAGGAATGGTCTCTGTGTTCAGAAAGATCACAGTCCAGTGGAAGAAGCTGAAAAGTAGATACTTAACTTTCATCCAACGCGAGACACACCATAATAGAAGTTATATGAGCACTGATGAAGGAGAAATTAATGCTTCTTGGGATGTATCAGCACTCATGAGAAATAACATAAAATATGTGTCATTTGAGCTGGGCGAAAGTTATGGTTCACTATGAGAGTAAGGAGAGAGAGGCATACCCAGGAACAGAATCCGTATGAGTAAGGCAAGACGCCTGAAGTACTTTGGGGAATTACCTGTGATTCAAACAAGCTCGGAAAAATTTTATTGAAGGAAAATTTTGCATGATTTACTTTTCACCAGTCTGTTCTGGCATGCTTCTAATGATGTCAGAATCACCTGGATCAATGATAGCCAGTGTGCACACTCTGTAGTATTTTCCACATGCTGTGCCCAGTTCAATATTATTGCCACTATAGTGAAGGACACCAGTTTTGGCTAACATTGCGTAGTACTCTATTTCGGATTTCCTCAAAGCTGGGCAGTTGTTAGCGAGAATGACCAATTTCGCTTTGCCTTGTCTGATCATCTTCAGAGTCTGCTTGTACCCCAGCACGTACTTTCCACTTTTCATAACGAGTTGAAGCCTAGAGTTGGTCGACTCCAGCGACTTTTTTGTCTTCTTTGTGGCCACCATCTTCCTGCCTTAGGTGCGGGACGGCCCCCAACCGTGAGCAGACTCTAAGATCGGGTTTTTTTTTTTTTTAAGAGACAAAATCTCGTTCTGTCACCCAGGCTGGGATGCAGTGGCATGAGCACAGCTCTCTGCAGCCTCCAACCCTTGGGCTCAAGTGATCCTGCCACCTCAACCTCCAGAGTAGCTAGGACTACAGGTATGTGCTACCACACCCAGCTAATTTTTTAAATTTCTGTTTTTGTAAAGACAGGGTCTTGCTATGTTTAAGACCTAGGCTGGTCTTAAACTCCTGGCCTCAAGCAGTCCTCCCGCTTCAGCCTCCCAGAGTGCTGGGATTACAAGCATGAGCCACTGCTCCCAGCTGAAATATGTGTTTTTATTTATATCTGACTATGGCTGTTTATTATGATTCAGACTAATAGTCCCCAACCCTGAGCTAAATATTAGACTTTCTGCCTCATTTCCGTTAAATCACAGTCTCTAAGGGTAACATGCATATATTTCCAAAGTCCCCCACGTGATTCTGATACACAACCAGGGTTGAGAAACACTGACCCAGACCCCTCGACACTTGAACATGTTCACAGAGGCACGGAGGGAGCCCCTCATTAACAGCAGAAAGGGGTGCCTTTAGGTCAGATCCTCTTCCTCTCTTACAGTGATAGGAAGAAGCAACAACCTTCATCTCTTTGTTCGTGGCTCTTTTCTTTGCAGCATTTAAACTTGCTGAAATCACTTCCACCTACTAATAAAACAAATCCCTCTTGACTCTACAGTCTCCCTCTAGCTGTTATCTTGTCATTCCAACCTATTGTTCTCACAGCCACACCCTGTGATTCGACCTTTACTTCTCCACCCCAGTTGGGCATAGACTCCAGTCCTGCTGCACTCCCCTGTCTTCCCAGGCTCCTAGGGTCACATTCCTAGAGATTATACATGTTACTCTTCTGCCTGGATTTTCCTTTTCCATACATTTATTTCTGGCATCTCCTCCAACCCCCACTCATCTTTCAATACTTAGCAGTCACATCTGAGAAGCCTTTCCTGGTTGTCTCTGTCTGGATTATGCACCATTCCTGTGTGCTGCCATGTTATTTGTATGGAATTTGTATAACAGCATTTATTAATATGTATTATAATGTCCTGTCTGCATTAAAAGAGTGGGCCTTTTAGAGACTGACTTGTTCATATTCGTTTTCATATCTCGTGCCTAAAAGTGCTCATCATATAGTAGTTGCTCAATAAAAATGCTAATAAGTTATTATATATTTATTTAACATTTTTGGGACCTACTATATGCTTGCTGCCATTTATTGAGCACTTAGGATGTGCCTGGTAAAGTGCTGACCGCTTGACACATGTACTGTTTAATACCACAAACTCCCCACAAAGTTAAGTTATTTTCCCCTTTAGAGATGAAGAAATTGAGATGTGAAGTGAATAAACTAAAACTAGATTGCTCTTTTTGGTATCCTTCCCAAATTAGTATTTCACACTTAATCTGGATTGGGGACTTCTTTAAGCTGTAAAAATGTTATAAAGCACAGTATATAATGATCCAATTATATTTATCTTGTAAATTGTTAGCATTGCCAGTTCTTTCTAGTGTTTGTCAAATGACTTTTTAAAAAGATAGGATCTTGTATGGTTTAGTAAATAGATAGATATTTTTTATCTAACATTTGTAATTTTGCTAGCCTTTCAATGGAAACAGAGGTCCAACAGTTCATTCTGTTTGAGAATTAGGAGAGATGAAGTGATGAAAATCAGCAAATCGTGCCCCAACCACCCCCCCCCCCACCCCATTGCTCAATCTTCTATCCCCACCAAAGAACCTCTTGAGCCAATAGTTTGAACACCTTTCCTGGGAAACCTGCTCGTAAATAGAAAAATTGGCTGGTTCCGCTTCCCCCACCTTTCCTTCCTCCTCTTCCCTGCTGATGAGCAGTGAAATCGCCTAATAACTGGGGCCAGAGGGAGGGGAGAGTGGAGCAGAGAGCCTGAGTAATCCACACACTGAATTATCAGCCCCTGTGTAATTGAGTTTTCTTCTGCTTCCTTTTCAGAGTTCAGCATTTTAAAGTTATTGAGGGATGCACTGTTTCTCTAGGCACTAGACATTTCTGCCATGATCATTTTGATTCAGTTCTATTGGGCTAGATGGCTTGTGCTTCTGACAGGGACTCCAGAAGACAAGCTGGGAGAACTCAGAATGACAATAGTTGCCCTTCTGCTGAAAGTCAAACATAGAATGGCCTTTTAATGCCCTGTCTGTTAGACTGAAGAGTGTTAAGGCTGAGGAGAGTTTGTGTGGCAGGAGCGGCCCTGAAAGAAAAGGAAGGTGCTGTGTAGAATTTGAATGCTGCCCAGTTTCACATAGATCCCAGAATGGGAAACTGCTGTTGGTGGCATAGGATGAGCAGCTATCCTGGTTTGCCTGAGACTGAGTGGTTTCCTAGCATAGGAGGCGTTCAGTGCTCAAACCAGGACAGTTCCAGGCAAACCTGGATAGTTGGCCATCCTGCGTGTTTAACTTAACTTTCCTTAGCCTAACAAAAAGGTCACAGTCCACTGAAATCATTTATCATTTTCTTAAATCCTGTCTGACTCACTGAATGACTCAGGAAAACAAAAAACAGAATTTCCTTGGGCTCCCTGGAGTAAGCAGTAAAATGGAATGGACCCTTGTTGAAAGCTTTCTTCCTACTCATCTGCGTCTTGCTCTCTACTCCTCTGACTTAGAACCCTTGGCCACCCTGCTCCCCATGCCTATGAGGTATTTATTTGTTTTTTCCTTCCCCTCTCCTTTTGCTGCAGTAACTGCATGGATTAAAGAGGATGTACAGTATGTACTTTCTCCCACTTTGACACTCAATTCCCGTACCTCTGCTTAGATGCAGCTGGCTGAGCTGGGGCATTAGGAAGCCTCCAGGGGATCCACAGCTGAATCTATCAGGTCCTTCTGAAGCAGCTGTTATCTGAAGCAGTTGGGCTGTGCCAGCAGAAGCAAAGGAAGGGTGTGCAGTGTGGATATGCAGGAAGAACCCCAGACAAGCCCGTCTCTGCTTGAGAGGATTGAAATCACCCCATCTGCATGTGGAACACAGTGATTGTTCTGGAGAGAGGAGGAGATGATGTTTTTCTACAGTTATCATGATAAACAGAGCAGCCAGTGCTGTCTGTGCAGCTGTTTCAGTGAGGATGAACTGAGTTATTTTATTTTTACTCAGTAGAAATTAACACGCCCCCTCTTTCTTTCGGGGAGAGAGAGAGAGAGACACTGACTAACAAAATTACTCGATGATTTGAATCTTTCTTCAGAATGGTGATAATTTGTGGGACTGTCTGGACATATCCTTGTTTGGAATTTAATTAGTGAAAAAACAAGTTCAGAAGATAAAATAGCTAAGTATTCTGAGACAGCCATTTGAAGACCTGGTAGCAGCAATGGGACGAGGGGGATGGAGGAGCAGCAACAAGGTGAAATGTTATTTTAAGACAAGAAGGAATAAAGAGGTGTAGCCCCCAGGCTGAAGATGGGAAAGGAAATGAGGAGAAATGGTTATCATCTCCTATATTGTTGTCATAGTTCTACGCAGTCTCAGTGGTTGTACCCCAGCGATAGCAGCCTGGAAAGGCCAAGATCTCAGACTCAGTAAGTCCAGCAAAGATACCTGCTCAAGCTTTTATTTTTACAGGAATAACCAGAGGGATGGGGAGAGTGGAGCAGAGAGCCTGAATAATCCATTTTGCTCTTGTGAAAAACAGTTAAGGTTTCAGGTTATGATGGCAAACTCTTACTCCCTTCAGAACAAAACTCCACTAAAATAACAGTAAAGAGATTTTCTTTTAGGTGTAAACACACAAGGAAAATGGGAAGAGGAGGCAAAAATGTGGAAGAGGAAGATGTAAAGCAGATGAACAAGTGATAAATGACTTAACAGGCCCTACAAAACTGATTCCTAAGCTATTGAATCCTCAAAGGCTTAGGAATTAAAGGCACCAGGTACCTCTGCAACTGTGATGAATGAAGTGGATAGGGAAGGGCTGCTATGAGGAGGACTGATTAACTACGTCTTTATGAAACAATCAAGAGCTCTAGATCCTCTCCCCTATTTCATAGAACTCTGACTGCTTCTTTCTCATCCTGATGGAAAATTGAGAATTTATTCTCTGATGAGGATAAAACAGTGTCTGTAAACTAGGAGGGATAACATGCACAGTTGAGAAAGGTCATACCATAGGAGGATTAAGTGGTCCTTTGTTGAGACCCCCAGCTCTCAGTAACACCTCCAACTCACATAACCACCCCTCAGCACCCCACCCCCATCCACAGACAAATTCTTTTATCCTATTTCACCATTTAGCTTCTAGAACTCCGGTAGTCAGGCCCATGCCTTCCATGCATGGATTAGAGACATCTTCCTAGTATAATCTGACCATCCCAAGAGGAAAGAGCTAAGGAATCTAAAAGTGGAGTTTTCCTAACAGTGAACCCATTTAGGTAATCCTAACATGAAGCTAAAAGTCTATAAGGCTTACTGTGTTCCTAGAATCTTCATTGCATTTCTAGTTTCCTTCCTGACAACCAGACATGTGAAGAAACTAGTATGAAACAAAAACACAAATAGGGGGAACCTATGTAAGGAGATGGACACTTAAAAAAAATTTGCTATCTTTAAAGAGATTGAAGTACCTGTGGCAACCCTAGACCAAAAAGAAAGGAACATTTAGAGAATAAGAAGTACAATTAGAAATTTAAAATATTAAAACAGAAATGGAAAGCTCAGGAGGCAGCACAGATGATAAAATTGAGGAACTCTCTCAGAAAGTAGAACAGGATGACAAAAATATGGCAAATAGAGAAAATATAAAAACACAGGTCAAGATAAGGGATCCAATATTCAAAACTAAGAGATTCATAAAGAAAAATTAGAAAAAATCCAGGAAAATAATAACAGCAATTTAAAATTTAAAATTGCAAGGGCCTTCTGAGTGCC